GTTTGCTACCCATCGTTCGACGAAGGTGCGGGCCACTGTTTCAGCAGTGATGTCATTGATAGGTACTGCTTCTGGCCATCGAGTGAAACGGTCTACGCAGGTTAAGAGATAAGAGTATCCATTTGAATCTGGTAAAGGTCCTACCAAATCCAGATGAACATGGTCGAAACGAGCATCGGGAGTTTTAAACGAGCCTAAGGGACATTTATTGTGTCTGATAACCTTAGATTTTTGGCAGCTTACACAGGAGCGTGCCCACTCCCTCACGTCTTTATTCATTCCAGGCCAGCAAAACCTATCTGCAATAAGCTTGATGGTTGCACGAACACCTGGATGCGAAAGTTTGTGCAATGTGTTGAAGACATTGCGTCGATAATGTTTCGGCACGATTGGGCGATCCCTACCTGTAGATGTGTCACAAAGTAAGGTTTCCTTACCTGTTCCCATCTGTTTGATGCGTAGTTTAAGTGTTGTGGACGATGACTCGTGCTGAAGATCAGTGTCTTCTTTTTGAAGCTGGGCGAGTTTAAGAAGGTCGATTCCTTGGAAACTGTTCAAGGAAGTTATGCGAGATAAAGAGTCTGCAACTACATTGTTTGCTCCAGAGATGTGTTGAATATCTGAAGTAAACTGCGAAATGTAGTCCGGTTGTCGAGACTCACGGGGAGAGTACTTGTCAGGAGGAGAGCTTAACGAGAAAGTGAGCGGTTTATGGTCAGTGAAAAGAGTGAATTCACGACCTTCGATGTAGTGCTGGAAATGCCGTACAGCACAATACATAGCTAGGAGTTCCCTACCGAATGTGCTGTACCTGGATTCGGTGTCTAGCAACCTTCTAGAGAAAAATGCCAAGGGTTGCCAGGAGTTGTTAACCCATTGTTGTAAGACTCCTCCGATTGCCGAGTCGGATGCGTCTACTGCGATGCTAATGGGTGCTCGGGTGTCCTGATGTGCGAGCATCGTTGCTTTAGCAATCAGCTCCTTAACTGTGGAGAATGCTTTTCGTGCGGTGTCGTCCAAATTAATGGATTTCGCATTTCCACGAAGTTGGTCGGTCAGAGGTTTCATAAGTAATGCGCATTTGGGTATGAAACGTCTATAGAAACTTACCAGGCCGTTAAAAGTGCGTAATTGCTTGACGGTGGTCGGTTCTGGGTAATCCAGAATGGCCGCCACTTTGGTCCTAAGAGGTCGAATGCCTTGAGCATCGATAGTGTGTCCTAGGAAGTCTAACGAGTCGGTTCCGAATTGTCATTTCTGAACGTTTACAGTTATGCCATGTTTTTGAAGTCGTTCGAAAACAAGATCCAGATGCTTGAGATGTGTTTCTCTGTCCGGACTTGCGATTAGACAGTCGTCAACATACGCGTGTACGAAGTTGAGACCTCGAAAAACGTCGTCTATGAATCTTTGGAATGTTTGAGCAGCATTCCTTAGACCGAAAGGCATTCGCAAAAATTCATAGAGTCCGAAAGGAGTTATGATAGCTGTTTTCGGTATGTCGTCAGTAGCCATAGGGATTTGGTTATACGCTTTAACCAAGTCGATTTTCGAAAAGACAGTTGTACCTTTCAAGGTAGCTGTCAAATCGTGAATGTGAGGCAACGGGTAACGATCGGGAATGGTTTTCGCGTTCAATCGCCGATAGTCACCAGTTGGACGCCAATCGTTGCTGTCCTTTTTAGGGACCATGTGCAACGGAGATGCATATGGGCTACTTGACGGTCGTATGATTCCTAAGTCCATCATGTGATCGAATTCGTTTTTCGCTAACCTTAGCTTTTCAGGAGCTAGTCGTCGTGCTTTAAAGAATACAGGGGGTCCTGTAGTCGTAATGTGATGTGTAACATTGCTGGTTACACACGGTAGTTTCGGTTGAGTTTGTTGTATCCCAGGGTACTTATCGAGTAGTGGCTGATAGAGTGGGTCTATCATATGTTTAACTGTGACTGGGGATACTCTACAACCAGTAAAGGAAGTTACGCAAACGGACAAATTAGTGTTTCCGTCTACTAGCCTCCGTTTGCGAGTGTCGATGATCAGATTGTGGTGTTGTAGAAGGTCCATACCAATGATTGGCATAGAAACATCTGCAACAACGAAAATCCAGTGGATGGGTTTGCGTAAACCCACGTTAAGGTAAACGTACCTTTTGCCATACGTAGCGATCGGTTTTCCGTTTGCCGCCTGTAAGTTTAGGGTCGATTCGTGTAGTCGGTCGTTAGGATTTGCTGGGAGAACGCTAACTTCTGCGCCAGTGTCGACGAGGTAACGAACTCTCGTTGTCACATCTGTGACGAATAACAGACGGCTTTGTTCGCCGGCTACGGTTGCCGTTAACGCGTGCCGGCTTGGAAGTTTCCCGAATTGCTATTCGAATCAGTCGGTTTCGTGTTGGGAAAATTGCAGGGTTTTCTGCAATTTCTGGAAAGCTTTCCATACTGGTTATGATACCAGCACCAGTCGGGGTTATCTGTCTCTCGTGGTCTAGAGACAGATCGCTTACGAGAAATGCTTCTACGTGGTGTGCGCGATCTCTTACGGTCGGTACGAAGACTAAGATAACGCGTGAGTGTGTGACATAAGTCGGTTATATCATTCTGAGTCGTGTGAGGCTTTTCTTTGACTGAAAATACCTCGGTTGTAGGTTTCGTAATTTCTAGAATGCGGTCGGCAGATGCAGCTAGTTCGTCTAAGGCATTGTTCTGGAACGAGACCAGAACTGCTTGCACCTGTTGGGGAAGTTTTGACAAGAAGAGTTGTTTGAATAGACCTTCGTCGAAAGTTCTTGGGCCTATTACCTCTCTCATCTGTTGCAACATGTCCGTCGCAGAACCGTGTTGCAGGTCGATATTGTTGAAGAGTTGATCTAACCTTTGTCGATCGGTTAGGTCTCCTCGTTTAAGAATCGAGCGTTTTAAGATTTCGTAAGGATCGGAAACATCACTAGTAAACATACTAGGTGTTACGTACCTGTTGAATTCGCGCGGTAGTGCCTTGACTACTGCGAGGAATTGCGCACGTGTGTCGATCACGCCGTGCTCGTGAAAGTCGGCTTCTGCGTAGCAAAACCAGGCTTCGATGTTGTCGGGCCAGAAAGGCATCAGTTGAAACGAAGGTGGGGACAAAGTCTTAAGCTTGAGTACTTTAGGTGTCTGTTCAGTCATGATGAAGTATGAAGTACGATAATGAACGAGGGGAAAAAATATATATCCAGGAAAAAACACGAAAAAAAAATCACAATGTTTAAAAAAGTTAAAAAAAAATAAGGCAATGATATATAAAAATCCCAAAAAGGAACAGACTCACAGTTGCAATTAGGTGTACCAGATCACGTCGGTTTCACCAATGTTGATGTCACAGGTATTCAGTGTTTGACAACGCTTCTACCAGTAACACCTTCTAATATATTTCGTTCCCGCCCAGAGAAATCAAAAGACAGAGTCGAGGAGATCGGAAGAGTGTATTTGGCGATGACCAATATATCGGAATTCTCTGATCTAATCTGGCTAGCGATTGCGGTTGATGTTGAGCACGGCGTTACCACACGTGATCTGGTGCGGATGCCTGACCGAGCACCTTCAGCTAGGTGAGTCCACTAAAACATATGGTCAGCATCCAATGTCGAAAACTTAGTGCTATTTATTTTGGGGATTTATTTACCGCTACAGCTTTATTGAACTTACCTAGCTGAAGGCGCTCCGTCATACATCTAACCAGATCACAAGTGGGATCGCCGTGGTCAACAACTCCTGAAATCGCTAGCTAGATTAGTTCATACGATCCTAGATATATTAATAGCCTATCAAATATAACTTAGAACTTTCTCACTTTTGTCTTTTGATTTCCCTTGGTGGGTACGCTTCATATTAGGTGTTACTGGTTAAAGCGTTGTCAAACTCCGAATACCTGTGGCATCTTCAGTATATTTAAATAACTCTGTATATTCGGTAACTTAGATCTTGCTTAGGAGTAGGATGTCTACTTTCCACTACTTAATTCTGACGAATAGGGTGCCAACTGGAGAGAAAATGCTTCCTAATACATCCACTTTACTGATCTATGAGTGGATGGTAACAGAATTGTAGAATAAAACAGTTAACATGTGCGTAGGAATACAAAGACTTAGGGGTGATAGCAAGTCACAACTTGAAGACAACTAAACATTGCAATTATCTACGCAAACCTTTACTGATAAACATTGCAATGGGGCAGCCGCCAAAGGTTTTCGAGAGTTATGCTCACCTTGCCGAGCATCCTAAAGCTTGGACGAAATGTTTCGAATTTAATATCCCTTCTATTCAAGACCAAATTTAGTGCACCGTATTCATGCAGCCGGTTCATTTCTTACTAAGGATACTATGTGTGAACAAAATTAACGGAGAGTCTTCCCAAACCCCTTTACGACGAGAGCTCAAAAGCTTGAACCTTTCCCCTTATCGCATACTAGACGCAAGGTGACCTTATATTGGTGTTCTGTATCTTTAATTACGATTTTGATGTTGACATGTCTTATCATTTTGCTTCGTCTAGAAGTAATAATTCTCGAGACCATAGCAAGAAGGTTCAAAAACCGCTATTCATTAAACTTGGATTGAGGTTCCGTCTTTCTCATCGAGTGGTCAGTGCCAGGAACGACTTACCCGAACAAGTGGTATCAATCCCATCAATGAACATTTTCAAGGAGAAACTGAACTTTCACTGGTAAACAGAGTGCAAGAGTCAAAACAGGTTCATTAACTTACTATTCCTATTACTGATGATTGATAAGCTGACAGTGTTAGGTCGGCTAGATACACTAAAACAATTATTGCCAAATTGACAAGCGTTAAAAACAAGACTTTGATGAAGATAGGGAGTTACTAAATACTATCGAAACGATTGGAAGGATGATCAAATACATTGCACAAATGTACCAGATTATTACGAACGTATCGTTTATTTGACGGCGGCTTTTACAAAGTCCGTGCATTACTTGAACAACGTAATCAGCTGTAAGCATGACGTTGAATGATACAGAAGTGCAGCGTCAGGTAACCTACTTTGACTATTTTTATTTACCACATTATTAAGATTCGCCACATGATGGCCTTCATAGACCAGGAAGCTCGAGAAAAGGTGGAGGAGATAGATGCCAAAGTTCGTTGATTAATTGTCTAATGACATTATAAACTTCTGCAGGCCGAAGAAGAGTTCCAAATAGAAAAGTCCCGTTTAGTACAAAATCAGCGGCTCAAAATAATGGAGTACTACTCAAAAAAGGAAAAACAGATAGAACTGACCAAGAAAATGTAGGTTTTCCTCCGTCTTACTTTGCTTGTCTTTATTTAGTCAGGATTCCAACTTAAAAAATCAGTCTCGTCTTAAGGTTTTGCAGAGCAGAGAAAATCACATTGAAGTATGTCATGTAAATTACATAGCTTTGGCAGATGTTGCTTAAGGAAGCCCGGGAACGTTTACGGATGGTTACCAGAGATCGGGATGTTTATCAGAAGTGCCTTTCAGGACTTGTCTTAGAGGTAACGTTTGGGCAATCATGTTCCACTGCTTTATATCATTTTCAATTTAAGTGGCCAGTCTGATCCTCATTTCTGCACTTTTGACTAATCTCTAAACTTGTTTTCTGGTGAATAAAATTTAAGGTCTTCCATGCTTGTGGAAAGTCATATTCATGAAGTCACTTTATACAAAAAGCAGTCCAGTATAAAGTCTAGATCAACAGACATGACATATGTCCTTATTTGTTTTTGGTTAGCACGAATTACACGTCATTTGTTAAACTGCCACGATGTTTAAAACCTTGTAATCTGTCGGTAATTTAGTTGTTTCGATCATTCTCGAGCTCAGGTGCACGGATTACTGTATAAAACCGAAAGTAGGCAATCGTATTAAACTAAGTATTGGAAGCGGTTAGAAACTCTGTACATGATTAAAGAATAAAAGGTATGAAATAACAGTAAGTTGGTGATCAAGTTCATTGTAATCCTTTGTTTGCCTAGCAGTGCTCAAGTAGATTTTTTGGTGCAACCATTATTACCACTCGTGATAAAAGATCACCAACATACACTCTTTATTTCTTGTAACTTCCTTTACTTGTATGTTATCCCTAGTTAGGGTCACATATTGTGCCTCACTGACAATAATGGTAAGGAAATAATAATCAGTCTTCTTTCATTCTCGGGCTTCAACAGTTTTTGAAGAACATTAAAGAATGATTGAATAAGTATATCAACAATCTTCAAATTTGAATTGATTTAATTTACAAACCAACATAAATAATGCCAATTACGTCACAATTTTTGCACTTGGTCTTACGTGGTATTTCTAATAACGTTATTAATGTCAGCAAATATTGCACGACATGAATACTGAGTACACTAGTCAATTTTTTTTACTAAGCTGTGTTAATATACTCGAAAGGGTTTTATTTAATGTTAAAATACCAAACATTACAATAGTATACTGCACTCAAAATCGCTTTCTCATTTTACAAATTTTTCCAGGGGCTTTTCCAGTTACTGGAACCAGAAGTTATTATCAGATGCCGTCAGGTTGACCGTGATTTAACTCAAGTACGTCCTCATTCTTCTAACTGTATTGTCTTGTTTTGTGTTGTCAACCCATTCCACAGTGTACACTCTCCATAATAGAAAATGTGAAAATTCCAATTTCAATTTTAGTATAAATATGAATAACGGTTGCTAGTATGTTTAGCATCTTAATTGCTGTCTACTTTGGTGGTAGGTTAACACTACAAAATGTGTCTTAATTGATATATGAATTGTGATCATCATTGAGTACTAGAAAAAATATTGGTAATTAAGAAGTTGAATGTGGTATCACCAGTTATTTTACAACGAAAATCATTCTGGAGTTGGAAGATACCCTTAGATGTGTACAAATATCTGAAGTTGTTTATATTAACTAGGTTAGGTTCTTCATTCTTATTATGTTACGGGGTTAAGAAATTTTCAATTTAACAGAACATCCTCATTCTTGTTCTTATACGACATCCTTATGTATCAAGGTAGATATCACCGTAACTCAACAGATAATTATTAATCATCATTATTTCTTAAGTCAACTCGATTATCCTACAGAATTATTTCATCTCTAACTTTAGAATGTTCTACCAGAATGTGTTGCCGCCTATCGAAAGCAGACGGGTACTGATTGCAGAGTCACAATCGATAACAACTACTTACCTGATAGCCTGTAAGTCATTGCAAAGTATTTTTGTATTTAACCATCGAGTTACCAGTTATCTATAATTGGGCTAACCAAATTAGACACAAAATATTGTTATAGGTTAATAAATCCTACTCAATCAGTGAGATACAGTTTCTAGCTCCACCCAGTCTATCTTATGTTGCACAGTCAAATAGTATCATTAGCCCGTACAAAAATGTGTGACTCAAAACAACATTTCTGTACTTGTACATCGTCACTGAATTGCATTAATTTTTTTTTGATTAACTGCAATAATCAATTAATAAGGTCTAATCTTACCCTTAAATTTACTAAACGTCTATGTACATTTTCCTGGGTTTACCTATACGATTTTCTTAGGTGCTCGATAAATTTGGTTTTTGGCTTTAAAAATATCGATTTCTTCATTAATGCGGATGTATTCAATTGATAAATTTCGACTGGAAGGGAATGCATTTGGATTCTACTGGTTTTTGAGATGGTCTTCAGTCAGTCATCAACAACATAGAACTTCGTACGTACGTACATCAGTTCAAGTTGCCATACCACATTAGCACACAGATACAATTGTTGGTTCGAATCCCATAGTGGTAGAGTTAGTAAAAGTATGAGCAGTAATCAGAAAGATTAGGTGTTGAATATGTTATTCAAGGAGTATAATCCAGTGAAATAAATTTGGAAAGAGGAAAAAAGGGACATGAAGAATTCAGAAGATTAGAATTTGGAAGAACACAAAGAGTGGATGCACCTGCGCCATTGCAGACGATTTCTGAGCAATGTCATTCAAGGTCTCTAACCATCAGTTGCTATCGTTTCGCGGATCCCAACCAGATAGTCTACACCTACCAACATGGTTCAGTCCACTTATCCGTGACTTCATGGATTTGTGCCATGATTTGGTTTGGCCGACCCTAGCTTTCTTCCATCCTACTTCTACACCATAAAACATCGCACGTCGGGGCAGTCGGTGGTTGGGCATACGTAACACGTGTCCCAGCGATCTCAACTGATGAAGTTTCACTACTTCATCAATTGATTTGCCATCCTTACCTAGTACCCGTTTCCTAACAACTGCATTACTCGGTAGTCTTGGCAAATAACGATTATCTACAGGTAGTACCTGTAAGTTGAGTCTAGTTGACGTCTTACCATATTTAAATGACAACTTATCTGTTTAGCTCAAAGTGGTTTTCAGTTTATTTGTTGTCGATAGTTACTCCTGTTTGGATCCTACTGAGCAAGTTAACATGTTATGATGTTCTATCTGCTTTATCTAACTGTATAGAAATTACTAAGAATGGTAAATAGGTAATGCAATGTTATTGTTTGAATACAAATACGTAATTTTTGCTTGTGTACATATGAGCGATTTGGTTATTCAAAATGGTCATCAATACCAGTAATATCGGTACGGTGGAGGGTGACGAGAGTCCGCCTTCCCTCTCCAAATGCTCTCACATGGCCACGCGTATACAGCTACTGTCAGAGAAGTCCTACTCACTGCCTTCTCGTGGCGGGGGTGTATTTTACGAAATTGAAAGAACGAAAAGCGAATGTCCGGCCTATTGTTGGTGACCGGCTACCATTGGACTTCATCTCCTTGTGTATTAGATTTTTAGGTTGAAGGCTCCAGGTGTGCCCCTCTAAGAAAACCATCTGCTTCGGCTTGGGTAACTGGACAGTATCCTAGCCCTCACACAAACCAAATGACAAACTATGGCATATATATTTGGCGCCTTCTTTACCAATGTTTGTTTAAATAATTAAATAACCAGTAATATCAGGGATCACCTGTTTATACAGAGCGATATATAAGTATCGTACTTATCGTGTATTTAGAGTAAATTCCTCCGTCAAAATAACTAGTTTTCTTTTTGTTTTCATTATTAGCATATAGTATATGTGTAGTTATGTAATCTAAGTCTGATTAAATATGAAACTCATTAACTTTATCTTATCATTACTTTGGTATCAAGCAATTTTATTCAGATGGTGTTATGTATCCCCAAATAATGAACTATCAAACTTTTTCTCAATTTAGAGCTGGCGGAATTGAAGTTTACAATAAAGATGGGCGTATTAAAGTAGTAAACACGTTGGAAAGTCGTTTAGATCAAATTAGTGAACATTTAATGCCACAACTACGTGAAATTTTATTCGGAGTAAATGAAGGTCGAAAATTCCGCAATTAATTGAATGATTAATCCAATTGTCTATTTCCGTTAACGACAACATCTAGCATAATAAATATTTATCTTCATTTCCTTTTAGTATCTGTTTATTGCACTAAATACTTGATTTATTATTATTACCGTTTGTTATATTATTGCATGTATGGAATTTGAAACATTTAATTTCAATCTTACCATAAATACTACTATATGATTTTAAGTTTACTCTTCTACTTAAATCCATTCTGTAAACCTTTTTCGTTAAATCAAATAAAATGTCGGTAAATGGTGTTTGTGATGTAATAAGGTCTTAATCGCTATAAGGTGTAATTTATGGCAATTGTTAGTACAAAAAATTAAGTTATAAATTATATTTAACTTAAAAATGATCTGTTTTAAATGCAGCGTGGTGAATATAACGACCTTTTAGACAGTTTTCTACATACCCAACTTAATCCTCCGAATAAGTTACCACTCTGTACCTATATCGTGATGTGTATACATCATTATTATTATTATTATTATTATTATTAGCTGTGATACTGCACCGAACCGGGGCAGGTTATCTTCTTAGATGTAATCACGTGGTAACCAGTGAACAGTATGGTGTCACCACTAGCCCCAATAACTACCCGAAACCCATGTGCACTGTTGGTTCGGAATCACATTTCTCAACCACCGTCTATGGGTTTTGTATCCATCAACCTGATTTAAGCGTAGGAGTCAGCTATAGCACTCCCACTTATGAAAGCACACACACCTCGTGAAGGTACTAAGCCTTGTGGAAGCTGTTACATGAAAGCATCTTAATAAAGAAAACTGAATCCCCATCCAAGAATATTAAACTGTTCAAAAAGCTCCAACTAACTACATGTAAGTGTTAATTGATAAATGAAGATAACGTAAACACTGGCTGAGAAGTGTTTGTGAAAACGATTACTTGTAGAATTATTGGATGGATATTCTAGAAATAGAACTAGTTAGCAAAAACTGAAATTTTTGTCTATGGGAACTAGTTTGGTTCATCTTTCGACCAGAGTATATAGAGTTAGGGTGCTGTTAGAGGTGTGAGGGCGGTTATCACTTCCCGGTTGCCCACACCGTGGAAGGGTTCTTCTGGAGGTACCTGAAAAGGAAATTGGATTAGAGGCGGTCTCAGTGACCTGAGAGCGTGACCGCAGTGCCCAAGGGACAACTGCTTGAGGCCGGTCGCGCACGGCCTTTTTGTGGAAGGTTTTTGACGTGTTAGCTCCGTTCTTCAAAGGGCCTTACCGCCGGAGACGGAAATCCGTGAGGTAAGGTGAGGTGCGCATTTTTAGGGTCGACCTTTTCTAACCCCACCCTTCCTTGTGAGAAGGCAGCATCGCTGTTATGCTGGTTGTCCGAGGGAAACACCTTACTGCTGTCACACCTGTACAGTCAGCAGTACGACTTCGCCTTCGGACCTTGGGTTTGTTGCTTTTAGTTTTACCGCTCTTCAACCGACCTGTCTGACATGGTAGGACCTTGAGGAACGGTTGTTCCAGCCAGTATAGCTCGGTTGCTTCATCACGATAGGCAAGCCCGACCACCACGTCAAGGTAGCAACAACGGTCGGGTATATAGAGTTGTCACAATGTTTATAAATCGTGGTGGTATACTATACGAAGTTACTTACTTCGTATACCAGTTTGATTAATTAGAAAAAGGAGAATCATATGTAGCGTATTTTCTCTAGTCTAGCCGTGTACATTTCCATGTACTAGCTGGGGTCGAATCTCGATCTTAGCCAGGCTTGTCGAATAATCTTTAAGTTCCTTTGTTTCGTTATAATGCAACTTATGGAATACAGATGATGTTATACTCGAAATTGTATAGTTGGCGCATTACTAGGACATTCAGTTGCTGAAGTAAGGACAATGTAAAGAGAACCATACTGTAGACAGTTTAACACGGTAAATTATCAGAGAAATGTCCTGATACCCATTTTGTTAGTTTAATCAGTCCTTTTATCATCCAATGATATAACTTAACCAAATATGTTCTCTCTACAAACTAGTATTATGGAATCGTTTCAATGGCAAGAATATTCATAAATAAAACGAAATACAATGTAATTGGTGTGAATATTATGTATCCCCTCGTTTTTCTGATAGCTTCTGTAGTTCCCACTAGAAGAACCTTTGTAATGCTTACTAATAGTGCTTATTTAACAAAATCATAAATTAGTTTACTGATATATTCTGTCAGAGTAATCCGTAATTGGCTGGCGAGTGTCGACAGACACACTTATTAATCACATGTATTATATTACAAACTGCTTCACCGATGCCCACTCTGTACAGTGTCCGCAGACGCTGATATTTGTTTCTTGATAAGGCGGTCAAACTTTGATAGTCTGAGTCTCCTTTAACTCAGAGGAGACAAAGTTATTGCGGTCACATTTATTTGGGAGAGAACGTTTATGAATAACGTTTTTCTTTAAAAAATGATCAATTATGCCTATCAAACATCCGACAGTACTTCAAATTTATATAACCGTACAGTCAAAATGACCAAGGATTAAGAAACATACTTCATCGCTGCCATGTTATCGCACCTTCAGTACTAACTTTCGTAAGTCATGGATTTTTATGTTTTTTATTTAAATAATTCTGAATTCATTTGGTGGACAGTCGTTGCATCAAATATCAAAGGTATGGTATTCTGATGTTTTCTAAACTCTTGTAGATATTGTAATTTATGTTCATATTAGATGAACACTACATAATAATCATGTAAAAATTTCGAATAACATGGGTCGAAATTGTTTGCAACTACGCAGGTGCATCCATTCTCCTTATTCCCCAGCATTCTGAGCCTCTGAATTCTTCATAGTTCTGTTTTTTTCTTTCACCAAGTTAAATTTCCTCGAATTGTATATTTAATCCCTAATCTTACATAGTCCAAGTAATACTGTTGCTACATCTATTCTTCTGGGATTTAGTCTTAAAATTTCATTTCTCTGTGTTCATAGAGTATGACAACTTGAACTGATGTACGTACATACCAGGTTCTAAGTTGTGACTAACTAACTATGATAAAAATACCATATTCGTATTTCATCTTATTTTTGAAATGGCATATAGTTGTAATTAAAGATACTAACAAAAATCCTTCGATTTTAATACTGTACAATAGATTATAGAGATTGGGAAATCTGTTTCCTTACTGCAAATGTATTCATAACACACAATGTAATTGTATATGTTCTTCTACAAATATGTTTTCAGAATATGGTTGATACCAGTTAACTGTATACTATTGTGAAAATAAGTAATTTTTCTCAGTTAATAAATAATGATAATTTTATTAAAGAATAACTTGGTTATTGAAAAGAAAAAACACTTGATTAAAACAATCCATCAGTTTGTTAGGATAATAAATTTGTACACATTAGGATGTAGTGTCAGTTATTATGTTAAGCCCATATACTTTATTCCAGCTTTCGAACATCCCATTCTATTCATTCTACTTGAGTCACATTTTGACCTTGTTAATTATTCACTTATCAGTCTTGACTGTTTTTGTATGAGTGTATATGTGTGTACACTTCATATCCCATGTCTCATCACATGTATGTAGTTTATTTTGTTTGCTTATAAATATTGCGTAACGCCTGGCTAGAAATGGAGTTGGCTTACCATCCATCTCCACTCTGCGTCGTTTCTCTTCTCTCTATTCGTTTCATATACAAAATATGTGTATTCGAAAGTCCATTCTCGTTATTTGACTTATCTAAATCCGTTATTGACTAACGCGATTAAAGTCGATGATTATACACGAGAATAGGCGATAACAGACATTCGTACGATCTAAATGGTGTCAGATTCACGGGCCACTAAAAGGAAATAATACTTCATACGGTTCACATGTTATTTTTCTAAGTTGAGATTATTCTCAATGTGTTGTTGTATTCAAATTTTTTTCTAGTCACATAATAAGTGTTGTATAATAAAATATTCGTTCCATTAAAGATCTCAGTATATTTTTGATTCACATCCAGAATGGTAAGCTGCACTACGATGGTACATTTATAAAGGATAGTTGGAAATGACTTAATCAAATACATGAAGTCTTTGGTAAAAAAAAGAAAGAAATCGCACTCTATTATAAGACAATCATTCATTAAATGAATGAAATGAGATCCGAAAAACTAAATACACCATACTTAATAGATCCACTTGTTGTTTTACTTGTATCTTTCTATCGTTATTTAGGACTGCAATTGATCAGCCTCATGTCGGTATATGTGCATCCTGTACGGATTGCATCGATATAGCCTTAAGTCACAAGCTTTTTAAGCAAAGATGGATAGTGGTTAGCAGTGAAATCCAGGATGCGCGTTTCGTCCTGTCTGGGACTTGTCAGTTGGATGTACCTACATCCCAGAGTTGATGTTCACTCCGGGACTCAAACCCAGTACCGTTCTCTTCAAACGCCATCGCGTTATGCACTCAGCTACTGAGTCCTGCTTGTGAAATTGGGTGAAGTTTAAATCCACTTGGTGTTGTTTTACTTGTATCTTCCCATTGTTATTGATATATACTACATATTAGAGAATAAAATTGATCTAATATTTCACTTTAAGTAATTAATAGTGATATTTCATATTTGTCTTAATTTAACTCTTGAATGATGATTCATTTATTTATTAGGTTATAAATGTACGTAAAATTCATTTTTAAATTATACTATTGTAATAGGGATTATGAATCAAATAGTGTTAAACCACGATTGAAAACCTGGAAGCACTGGATACCCCTTTCACCCTATTATAGGACTCCTCAGTTGTGCACATCCACGATCCCACACTCAGGACTCGAATTTAGGACATCAGGGAAGAACGCTTAGTCTCTAAACCATTGAGTCGCCATCGAGGTTTACAGTGGTTGTCTAGTATTGATCGGTTCATGATCTCTATTGGAAATCATCAATCACCATAATCCTATACTGATAATTATATTATTCTCTTGTATGTATAATGTTCTGTAATTTCTTAA